GAAGTTTGGCTGTTACTGCTTTTTGCTGTGTTTTACTTCACTTTCTTATCTAGCACATAACTCCTAGAAGCAGGCTCTTCTCCACTTATTTATATCTATACTTTTATAGAGATACACATATGCACCTACATCTTAAAATACATAACATCAGTATTTTCTTAAAGACCAGAAAAGGCCCCACAATCTAACTGGGCCACACACCTGGTGTACATTTAGCTGCCCAGTGGCACGACCCTCTCCCTACCAATGGCCCATCTGAAGGTGGCTTTGGACTGCCAGGTCTACAGTCCCAATACTACCCCCTCTAACAACCAAAAGCCCAAGGAACCCAGGCCACGGCAGGTCCCAGGGAACCAGGTGTGCCAGGGCATGGCTCAGATGCCAACGCTAAGTAAGACACTGAACCTTTTGCACCCGCCCGCCCAGCCTCTTCCTCATTGAGAAGGAAGGAGGCAGGAGAGACGGCCAGGAACTGAAGCTCTGGAGTGGTGTGAGGCCCGGCTCCCTTTACTCATGGGCCTAAACCATTAACCATTGCAGCTCCAGCAAGGAGCAACTCTGTGCTGCCCACAGCCTCCCGCCATTGTGCAGAGCCACCTGGAAAGGTGCAGCACAGAGAAAGGGGGGAAGCCCCTCACATGGGCCTGAACAGAAGAGAGAGGCAGGAAAGTGCAAATTCCTGTGCCACAGATCTCAGCCCATCAGGGAGAGTCCCAGAATGCTCAGGGGACGGCAGGGCCGCTCGAGAACTGTGAACGACTCAGATGCTGGTACTGCACTGTGCTTCCCCACCTTGGCGGACAGTCCCCCAGCACAAAGCGCTCCATCCCTGCTCGCTCGGGCCCAGGATTCAGCCAGGGACTAAGTTTGCCTCCGGCAGTCCTGAGGCAGCCTTCCTCCCAATCTCCGGTACCTGCTTCATAAAGAACTCAGCAACTGATGAAGTCCAACCCCTCAAGGTCCTGAGTAGTCAAAACATCTCAAAAGTGGATACTAGGGGCCGGGGATTTAGCTCAGTGGTGCCGCCGCCAGCCTCTAAAGCGCAAGGTTCCGAGTTCGATCCCCGGTACCAAAAAAAAAAAAAAAAAAAAAGTGGATACCAATACCTTCATCCTCCCCAAAACAGACCACACCAATGTGTCCCTGAGGCCCCGAGAGGACTTGTCTTTCCCCTCTATCAGCCACATATCCCAGATATTAGCTGGAGATTATTTTCAAGCTCTATCAAAGCCCAGAATCCAAAAGTGAAAAAGGACCACGAGCCAATCCGGCTTTGATCCTGTCTCAGTGATGCCAGGCACCCTGCTGCAGTCATAGAAGTCAGGGCCAAGGCCAGCCTGGGCATCCACAGAGCAGAGCAGTGGCTCAAAACAAGGACAGGGTCTCTCAAAGCAGAAACCAGACCCTTCCCTCAAAAATCTACACACTCAACTTTAGCTCTTCCTAACCTTTCTTTACAACATTCTGAAGTCCCTCAAATATTTTAAAACTTGCTTCACCACAAAGCTGAGTTATGCTCATTTCTGAGCCCACCACCTGGCTCTCCTACTCCTTCCCTCTACATTATACACCCAGCTTTACCTCAGCCTCTGCAGTGCTCCCTCCAGGAGCCATCACACATGCAGCTACACGACCAGCAAGGGAATTTGTAATTTAGTTTCATTCCTTCATATTTATTAATTCTAATTTAACAGCCACACCTAGGTAGTGGCAACCATGTTTGATAGGGCAGCCTTAGACTACGTTTGTTCATTTTGCCTTCTCCAGATAGGTTTCTTGACTCCCAAAATTTTATAGGTCACCTTATACAATTATATCCTCCACAGGACAAAAACTATGGCAAATGCTCAGCAAACTGTTAACTAACCGGAACCATACTGGACATAGAAGAGGCTGGCTTGGTCAGGCTGTCATTCCACCTAGCAAACCCCAACCTGAGACAGCCTCTCAGCCAGCTGCACTACCTGGCTGCAGTCCCACAGGTGCACAAGATGCGCTGTGCGGAACAGGATGCTGCCTGGGGTAGGGAAAGGATGTGGGAACTCTGTCTAGCAGGGTCCAGAACACCAAGACAGGAGCTAGTCATCTTCCCTGCATGACGCCAGCTGAAGCCGCGTCACAGAGGCACATAGGTGACCCGAAGGAGGAGGCCTGCTGGAGAAAGGAAAGAAGAAACTACAGGTCACTGTTTCCTCTAGACTGCAGAATGGAAAGATAAACAGGTAAATTATGACAACATTCCATATTTCATAAAGCAGAAGCATGCTTATCAGTGTTGCACAGCAGAGTGGGACAACAGTACAGACTTTAATTAAATTTGTTCAGCTAATACCTGAAAGTTACCACGATACAATGAAGCAGGAGGCAGCTGAGAAACCCCACGGGAAATACAAGCAATTAATATATGAAAGGGTTGAGACTAAGGGTCCTGGCCAAATTAATAACAGAATTCCCATATTCTTCTACAAATAATAATAAAGATTTAAAGCAGACACTCCCTAAGAAAGGGAGAGAAGAGTAAATAAGCTTGCTCTTGCACATGTAAACTCATGCAGCTGCTGCGTTGAGGACTAAGACTACAAGGTGGCAGACACCCGCCTGGTGCCCACGGCCAGCAGGCAGAGAGCCAGTGGTCAGAGGAGCTCCCCCGCTCAAGAATGGGCAGCAGCCAGCCTCAGCCTGTCATCGTCACTGCAGTTGGGAAACAGCGGCCTGAGGGTGGGAGTCAAGCAACCCGGACTCTACTCCGTCTGCCGAGTGCACACCTGTTCTACCCCGACCGAGCAAGACACTCCTCCACTTGGGGCAGTGCTTTCGCATCTGTAAAATGGGGGAGTTGGATGAGATGGCCACTGAAGTCCCTTCCAACTCTGCCCAAAAATTCTCGGCATGACTCAGAACTTCACAGGAGAGGTGAGATGAGGTCACCAAAAGCCATTTAAACACCAGCTCTTCATGACAGCAACAGAAAAGCAGCACGGTGAGTTGGGACCATTTGTTAAAGCACTGGTTTTACTTCACAGGGCAAAGAGGTCACAGGACCACAGAAAGGGAACCAGCACCTGGCCAGCCACCACTTCCAATAAACTCTCAGGACCACAAGGAAGCAGACTTCCTGTCCCCAGGAGCAGCTGGGCACGGAGGATAGACAGGTCTCCTCCCTTCTGCTCAGGAACCTTCCCAATGGGGTCCCCAATCCTGCCTGATGATCACAACTTCTTCCCTTACTTTATAATCAAAAGGCTCCTATTTCTGAAAATCGTTTCACTACTCAGCACCCAAAGTTAATCAAAATTCAAGATCAGGAAATCTCTTTGTCTCTGAAACAGGATTCTTTGAACTAGATTCCCACAAAGCTGTAATTATGTCTTGGCCAATATTAGGGCATGAAAGTGCTGTTGACACTACTGTCCGTCACCAAATGCCATATTCCTCCTTTCTTCCTCTCGTATTAAGTTTTAACACAAAGATGTGTGGGAAATCTACAATTTAACAGTTGAGTCAACTTCTCAACTGAGAACAGGCTGCCTGTCAAAACAGACTGATTTCAGTCTTCACACACTTCTAACCAGGAAAGGATAAACCATTCAAAACTATTCAAAGGAGAAAAATACCCAAATTTCTTCCTATTCATTAGGACAGAAATCTGAACTGCCACCCAAAAATCTTCTGGAGTATGGTGCGGGTGCATCCGTGTGCGCGTGTGTGTATTAAACAGAGTAAGGAGACGTTGAGAGCTTTTGTTCTGAAGTCTTTATACTCCAACTATCCAAGAGAAAGAACAGCCAGCGTCTCCACGGCTGATGGGCGAAGGCAGATGGCAACTCAAAAGAGACAGAGAACACTCCTGGAAAGCACGTCTGTCACTTCCTCAAGGGTACAGAGTAACTGTGGGCAACGTGCATTCACTCACCTCCAATCCCAAGGTCAGGGCCAGTCGACCCAGGCTCCTCCCCGCCCCCTCCCCTCTCCTCCTCCCCCTGCTACCCCCCCCCCCAGTAGGGAACAGGAGGTCAAAGGCATAAATGTTACAGCGTTCAAAACCCTGATAAATTTCCTCTCCGACAGTCAGCTAAGCAACAACTGAAATCTCATGGCAGGGGCCTACAGAAGAAAGACAGACAGAAACAAAGAAAGAAATCTGACAGCGCTGAGGATGAAGGCAGAAGGAAAATAACTTCAGAGTTCTTAAAACCCAGAAACTGGACATGCTGCCCGCTGCAAAGTACCAGGTTTTTATAACTTCTGATTGTATGTGCCATCAGGCCCACCCAAAAGTCACAGCTGAGGTTCGGACGTGATAACTAAAAGGCAGCTGGCTGTGCAGACTGAAAGGGAAGAGAAAAAACATAGCACAGGAAGTATTTCTCTCCCCCTCCAGTCATTAAGGCACCCCAGGGGAAACCCACCTGTCCTGTCACCTTTAGGGATGCGATCTGACCTGAAGGCTTCTGGGGAGAAGCCTTTCTGCGGGCCCTGAACTGGCTCAGCCTCCCCCGCCCCGGCCCTCGCGGCAGCCTCCCAAGGCCATTGTGTGCAACTTCGGAAGTGGAGCGGTCCCTTCAAGCCTCACGCTGCCCTGCCACACCCACTCGAAAAAGAAAGAGAAGACAACGGCCGGGTTTCCCCGGGCCGAGACCAGCGAGGCCCCCGCTGGCGCCCAGCCGCCCGCGGCCGTCCCGGTTCCCGAGACCCGGCTGGAGCGGTCGGCGGGGCCGTGGAAGCGGAGAGCCCGGGCCGCCGGGCTCCCGTCCCCAGCCCGCCCCGCGCCAGGCCCCGGGAAGTGAAATCACACATTCCGGCTCCCAAATAAGGAGCGGGGCGAAGCAACCCCCGGAGCTCCGACTGCTCCAAACCGGCCGCCCAGCCGCTCCCTGGGTACTGGGCCCTCTGTGCCCGCGGAGGAGAAGGCGGGCGGGACGGAGCACGCTGCCTGGGGCGCACGAGCCCAGGACGGCAGAGCCCGCCCGCCTCAGCCCCGCGCCAGCCCGCCCGCCTACTTTCAGCGCGAATTTCTCCTGCGTCCGCTTGCTGAAGATCTGCAAAACTTTGCCGTTGATGCCGAGCCCCAGGACCTGGCTGGTGACCTTGTAGTCGTCGATGATGGCGTTCTTCTTGACCTGCAGGCCCGACTTGACGTGGAACTGCGGGAACTGCGGCGGCGGGGCCGGGGGGTGCGCGGCCGGGGCGGGGGGCTGCGGCGGCGGCGGCGGCGGCGGCCCCGGGGCGCAG